GATAGCCCTCCTCGCAACTCTCATTAAATGACCATTTAAGTAATGAATTAAAAGATAAGGGCAAGTAGATAATTATGTCGTGGCTCGTGTTTTGGGACGTGGCCATTTGCCTGATGCTTAGCTCACCCATGCGTACTGTAAGGCCGATTCGTACCCCGTTTCACCGTGATCTGTCGATCACGCACCTGGTGATCACACTGACTTAGCCAGACGTCACCCCTTACTTGGTTTTACTAACTTTCTCGAATGGAGGCGTGAAACAATCCAGACCACCAATCAATGAGGATGGGGGCGACATAGATCACAGAGTAACGGGGATACGATTCACTCCAAAAGTCGGCATTGGAGAACTTCGAATCAGACAAAGGGCACCATATGATGAGGGCAGTGCATAGGACTTGCCAGTTCTTGAAGATTGTCGGACGAACTCACACCCTTCACACCCTAAATAAGTCTCTCAAGGCAGACGTATCTGACATGAGAATTTATCTGACCAAATCATGACATAATGCAAATGAAGCAATTTGAAAAACAAATGATTCACGTTTCCAAGTGAAGTTGCATTTTTTATAGGAAGCAAGTTTTTAAATGAAGAGAACGTTTATAACTTAGCTGTATACCATGCAGAATGGGGTACCAACAAAGACAGGGAGGACGAAGATGGCAGTTTCTCCCGTCATCGGCTAGCAAAATCTACAGGACCTCGGATCCGGGCATGAAATCTTCAGCCATTGTTAAGTCTAACGGGTCAGTTTTTATGTCGTTTGCGACTGGGAATATTCATTATCATTAGAAGTGCCTTCATCGATAGGTTTACAATTCACGCATTGCTAGGAGTTTGATGTTTGTTTTTCGAGACATTCTGAAGTCGAGGAAAATTCGGTCCGTCCTAAAAAACCTCACTCCTAAAATGACGCCAATATAAGCAGGTTCCAGAAACCTCTGCAGTAGAATGCCTGACCACAGGCATCGGCGACTTAACCTCAGCATTATTTAGTCAAACCGAACCTACACCTTCCATTAGTGCAGATGCAGTTGCTCCAAATCATGTTTGTCCTGTAATCCACATGTTTTCAAAGAGAACCGGCTGCCGATCGTCTACGAGAAGATTAACTCGGCCCTCGTCAGGGCAACATTCAGCAAATTGTATGCCTAACTACTGGACTTATTTGCAGTCGCTGGTTTTTGCAGTCGCAGATACCTGTCTTACACAAACCGCAAGAAAAAAGATTTAATGGTAGTTTAAATGGTAAAACCCTTAATTAACGAGAAGCATTAATTTGTGTTTAAAGGTAAACGAAGCCAAGTAAATGTCGTGAAAAACGCTAACTCCAAAGCATTCCCTAACCCATTTACTGTTCGCAAAGTGAACCAGAGAAACCTGCACAGTGTTCTAGGTCACTGTATGTGATTCGACCCATAATTCTATATTTTAAACAGAAAATTCGTCATGGATGGTAAAACTGGCGTAGGGGGAAATCCACTTCTTATTGCGTACATAGTTGGTCAAGTAATCATAAGTGGTGTCGACAACGATCGGGTGAAGGATCTCAAACATACACGACCAGCCAAAGGTGCCTGTCTTTCATAAAAGGTGGTAATAGAGGTTTTACGAGCATGTCCTATGTATGCATAGATGAATGGCAAAATAAGTAAAAATAATTGGCGAATTCGTTTTTCGGACGGAAATGTCTAAATACATTGACATATAGCGACTGAAATGATGCAGGACAATTTAAAAAATAAATATTAAGTGTCTACAACGATCGCTTCTCAACTCTCTGAGCTAAGATCATTGTAGATAATGCACCAGACAGTCTACAACAGACGACCCAGCCTTGTACGATGAGACATTGAACCGAAATAATCGTGTCGAACTAAAACCAGCTTAAATAAGTATAATAGGTATTCTTTGTATGTCACAGATGTTTGGGGTCTTTCACCAGATCCTTACCAGCAGTGACTTCTTAGTTACTTACCTATTCGTTAAATATAATGTTGCCTTTTCTTGCTGATTGCGGAACGGCATGGCAGGAAACCAAACGCAATAAGCATGACGCCGTCGAGGTTGGACAGACTGCCGAAGACAGAGACCCAACCAGATGATGTTACACAGCCTTCAAAGTAAAGAACGGCATCTCAAGGTCGCTGTTGCTGGCTTTATGCTAATGAATGAGAAATTAACTGGAGGCGTGAGTTGGAGGATGTTTTTTCGAAGTATGTGGATCAAGGTTTTGAGGGCATTTCTCGCACACCGAGGCAGATCATTCTGTGCCACTGCGATACGTCAAGTCCGATGGGTCAATCTGAGAACGCCAAGTGCTGCTTTCATTTGTGGTGCTATAGCTACATGCATACGAATGAATTCCGTCACGTAGAAGGCAAAAGGTAACGTAGCTCAGGTGACATGCGTAAATTTACGAAAAACCTCCAACCAATTAGAAATCGACCCAGATTTATCGGCTTAAACTCTCAATTAATAGTGGATGGTCTTCACTTAAATAAAACTCAGATGAAGTGCTTAAAGAAATCTTGTGTTTTTTATAAAAAGGGAACTTGTCAGTGAAACCGGAAATGGTTATAGCCTGAAGACTCATGATAAATGAGTAAGCATTCTTTATAGAAATACTTAACGCATTTTCACTAGAACATCTGAGCAGTTTGCACGGCGAAAACAAAGCAAACTTCAAAATCCTTTCCAGAATGTCCTGGCAAATCTTTTCTAAGGATTAATGTAATTCGAAACATGGTAACTAGCGAACTGTTTAATATTTGATTGTGCTTTTCAAAATTATCCGGAGTGAAAATGATGCTATTTTGCATCGCTTGAGATACAATTTATTAAAGCGAGGATAATTTTGTTTGCGTTTTCAGATAAGGACGCCACAGGACGGGTTTAGTAAGTAAAGTACAACATTCGACTTTTCGTGAGCTCATTGTCCTGGACATTTCAGATGTGAAAAACTGAAACAAACCTTGGAGAATGCGTGAAAACGATTAAAAGTGAATAACTTATAAAAATACTGACGAATTACGCCGGAAAAGCTGGTTATCGTCCCTAGGTGGCAGCAGAACACTTTCCTTCAGCATCGTACACTGCATACGGTACGGAATCGGATGACGAAATGCCGGATTACTTCCGCAACTCTGCTCACCGTGGTCCTCCGCCTCTTTTAATTAAAGAGGAAGTCATCGCCCCATCTCGCCTAATTGCACAAATCGACTACCTTCTAGTTCGAAATGCCATCAACAACCGATGGATCTCATGGGAAGGACTTTTTACACGGTTGAAGAGCAAACTACAGAAACCGAGGGGAATCCAGGCAATCCCGCACAATTCCGTTATTTTCGAGGTAATTTTCGATGGCAGAAATTGGTCTTTTCCAAGTTCTTTCACAAGTCTTTGGGTGTCATTGTAGAATAAGACGAAACCGACGTGAGTCAGGCTATACCAATTCATGTGGTAACTGTCGCCGGGGAAGGTGGGCGGAGAACAGCAAGTATCAACAAATAACCCACGTGAGACAATACACGACAATTCGAAGGGCGGTAAGAGAGGAATCAGTTTCGAAGACGAATAAAAAGAAGAAGAAGACTCGATCGCCGGGACGATCGCCGGGCGATCTTGTCTTCTTCTTCTTCTTCTTCTTCTTCTTCTTCTTCAAGACTGCTTCCTGGGACTCCTCTATTCACTTCCATTGACGAGGAATAAGTTGGTAAATGTAGGCTGGACGGAAGGCTTTTTGAAGATGAACATGTGTGTTCTTGTCGTAAGCAACGTGTTGTTGCTAGTACATGAAGGCACTTTTGGGCTGAACGTTCGAATTTACCTTTGCAAAGTATGGATTGGCTGATTGATTTCCTTAACGGACTAAAACAGCTGTGGCTATTGCGTTTAACGTGTTGCCTCTACAGGATGACGTCATCCACCTGTTTAACCTGCCACCCAACTGCAATGGGTTCAGGCATACGCAAACAGTCACTGTCCACGTACTCTTAACCTGGTTGGGGTGAAGGAGATCGTCTTGACCAGTGACGAGGTTGAGGGCTTTGAGTGCGAGTGGAAAAGCCAAAAAAGTAGATCCAACATTAACCCCCCCCCCTCTCCCCCAACCCCTTAATTTGCCTTGGAACCGCCATTTTAAGGGGAATATTAAAAGCAAATGCATAAAGGCGACTCCACACACTGGAATACTAATTACTCCATTTTCAAATGTTTGACATAGTTCGTTTCCTTGTAACAAACAGGGAGTTCAAAGGTTCAACACCTATATTTCCCTCAAATAAACTGAAACTAAAGCTGGAATGGAAACAGATTGGTAAGCTGATTGAGCCCACTGTGGATGGTCCTTTTTCTCGGTAAAACTGTGACCCCGTCTGTAGTTTTTTTCGAGCGTTACTAGTCGTTTTTAGAATGAGTACTCCAAGTCCGTGATTTTTGCTCGTTAACATATAATAACGAAGAATCCCACCGCATGGTAGAACACAACAATGTAGAGTGGGTTAAGCAAGTGAACATGCTCTAGAGGAGACCACGAATCAGGTGACAAAATGGCGCGTGGTCTGTTCTTTTCAGCGGTCTGCTCTGTGCTGCACAAGTCGCCTTATTACGCGGACTCGCATTACACAGTTGCAACCGACATGGCACAGTGGGCTCGTCAATAAACCCTCAGCGTCTGATTGGTCGGTTTTGGTGCAGACACCGTCTACTGCTACCAACGCAGTACTAAGGCTCACCGCATCACGTTTCCCTGCATGCTCATTCGGCGCAGTGTACGCGATAACCGCAGCACAAAAGCTATTTGCCACAAGGCGGCGCAAGCACTTAAGGCAAGACATGCACGCATGCATGCCAATCTACAAGACTGTCAGTGGGTTTTAGACCCCCGCGCGAAAAAGTGGATTTCTTCAATGCACACTGAATAGCTCAAAAGAAGACTTAAATGGGGAGCATTTTGGACATTATTCGATTTAAAGACACAGAGCCCCAGCGGATTGTTATGCTCGGTTTGGATGCAGCCGGCAAGTCCACCATCTTGTACAGCATGAATTTAGCAACACCGGTCGATGTCAAACCGACGATTGGTTTCAATGTAGAGGAAGTAAATGTGCCTAATACACGTATATGTTTTATTGTGTGGGACCTTGGCGGCCAGGAAACGGTTCGCAGTTTGTGGCGGCAGTACCTTGATGGCGTGTCAGGTCTAGTGTTCGTTGTCGATTCCGCAGACCATGAACGAATGCAGGAGGCGAAGGAGGCTCTGCACGCCGTGGTCAGAGACCCAAACCTGCAAGGAGTCCCTGTTCTTGTGGCTGCAAATAAACAGGATCTTCGGGATGCCCTTCCAGTATCTGCGGTCGTCGAGCGGCTCAATACGCAGGCCCTTGCAACGCCAAGAAACGCCTGTGTTGTACTCCCAACCTCCGCAGTGACGGGCGAGGGCGTACCAACGCTCTTTATCCGTCTGGCTGAACTCGTTCGAGCTCAGTCGAAAAGGAATCAACCTGCACTTTCCATATTTAAATCATCGGCGCAGAACCCTACCCGACGATCTTGGAGGGACCGCATTGCAGCCCACATGCCCCAAATGTTTAGACGGGACAGTTCATACACAGCCATTTAATACCATTTTTCATTTCTTTGGAGAGGTTTCCAGCCCATTTTACTTTGTCGCAATTGAGCTTTATTTTTTGTACATTTGGACAGATTTTCTATCGACCGCGGACTATGTTTTTTTCTAAGCACCGCAGTACAATGAAGTATTATTGACTTGACAGTCAATAAAATGGCTTGCTTCCCTTTTCATAAATTAATCCTTGATTATAACGTTGGACGAAACCTTTTGAGAGATATGTTGCTGTATCTCCACCGGAACCTACGAGATAGTTGCCAGCTAGTGGCTGATGGCAGTCTTGAAACAGTCACCTCGACTTTTTTCCTTGCCTCCAACTACTTTGTATTCGGGAATGGGCTGAGTGATTTCCAATGAAACTAAACACATTGTGCTCTCTCTGACAGGGTATGAAAGTATACAGCCACTCTACAATGCAGAAAACTACAATGACAGTTAAAGAACTCTTTGCCGTCTAAATCAGTGTTTCAATATTTCATTCTTCGTATGAAATGTGAAATTCTTACTGAATACAAACTGAGCGAATATCTGAATGACAAAAAGTGCGCCTATTACTGTCCGTTTGGTCTGACTAATTTGCTCCAGTCTCCACCACTGATTTTCCCGCCTATATCGGGAAACGAATTCAACGATGTGACTTCTTCTGAGGAAGATTGCACCCAATCCCTAGTCTATGAAGGTTTAGTTTCCTGTTACGAAACATGAAAAGATAATAACATTCTTGATTACGTCTTCTATCGTTTCGAACACACTCTTCTGGCCAGGAGAATGGATTGTACTTGCATATTAGCTGATTAAGGCACATCTTCAAGGTATCGTTTTCCGCTCTATCAGTTCACTTGCTTGTAATTTTGGAATTTTCTACAAAAATAACTTTAGAAAAGTCTGTTCTTTAAGGTTATTTTTCTAGGAACTATAACTTCTTGCATTTTTATTAATGGAAAATATCGAGCGATTCAGTCCCATGGATATGTAAATTTCCCTACTTTTCTCAACTACCATCTGACATTTCTAAGTCGCCCTAACATTCCCTTCCGATCAGAACTGTGCACTTTTCAGAAAGTACTTTGACAATCTTTTAATGCTATATAAAACTTTAAAAAACAAAACTCACATTATATTCCAAAATTTACCTCTTATAGTTCAAGTCTTCAAACAAGTGGTTTTCCAAAAACGCACTTTCGGGTCAGCAGTTGTAAGAGGCAAGTTTTGTTCATTTTCCCAGGCAAACTAGTTGCCCGGGAAAAGCCATGCATACGGCACTTCAACATTAAACAAGAATACGAGATTGCCCAGACCTGGGGCTGGGTATATTTGGCTAAAGACAAACTAATTAGCCAGAAATGGCCCTCCCAGTCACCCTTGTGTTTATCACCACTCCTTCCTGCATTAGTACTGGCTGCTATGCGACTGCCTGCGAGGGCTATACGTGACCGTCCTTCCCCGATAATTAACATCTGTTCTAGATTACACCGTTACAGATAATTAAGTAGTAATCATACCCTGACCGCTGGATAACCGTAAAATTATATTTCCTGCCTCTCATAGTTTAAATTCGCTTCGTCTAGCATTCAACTTAGGGCGCTGGATATATTTTTATGAGTTCTGGCTCATAGCGCATTTTTCGCTGACTCAAGGAGATTCCTTTATGAACAGCAACGATATTGAGACGCAATGGAAGTGCAAAGGAATGTCTGGTCAGGCGAGGGAAGGAGAGTAGAGTGAATTATGTGTGATTAGAATGTATGGGGTCGAAGCAGTTCGACGTGATTAAGCAGCTGCCTCAATTACCTGAAGTGCTTGTAACTTATAAAAAGCGTTTTGGTGGTACGCGTAGATTCGGAGGCACAGAATACAAGATCATTCATGCAAAATATTAAAATTTAACCTGCATTGGAGTCTTTTTGGTTATGTTAGCAAGGCTTAACCACGATGCGAATGCGTGTATTAACTAGGCACATATACGCGAGTGTTATTTTCCAGAAACTTACCGAATTTATCTTTGAAGTATTAACACCATGCATTTCAATCGACCGAGTACTGCGTCAGCATTTAGTTGATACGAAAACCCGCATTTATTCTATATATGACAGAGTCCACCTACGGCTGCTCTTGTTCTTTTTGCCCCCATTCCCTACAAGAAACTTTCGATGTAAAAGTCACCGCCACTGTGACGGCTCCAGGGTTTACACATCCGCGTGGTTTTTCAAACACCCACAAATTCACACAGTTGACCAAATAACATGACCTTGAGGCAGATATGGCACATGTAAAACAATGCGAGTTACCGTAGAGAAGAAGACTGATCAAGCATCGGGATAGTTTGATTATTGTTCTGAACTTTCGAAGTCCCGCAAGAGTCCATCGTCAGAGATATTAGCAGCAACAGAACGGGCGATACTTATAACTTCATAGCCACCAAGATGATCGCCCACGCCGAAACCAAAGCAGACTGAGAATTGCTTGGAATCTGGGTCTCGAATGAGTACTCGCTCAATAGATTTATCGATCTGGTGGCGGTGCGCAGAGCCCTACATAGTCACCTTTAGTCTTGCATCATCAATCGATGATTGGTTATCATACACTATAATTGTCGCTCGCCATGTTGTTGCTACTATCTCTAACGCTGGATGCCGACGCGAGTTTGAAAGCTCGGAACAGTAAACAAATTGTTCCGATGATCGCTTAGTCTTTTTTCTTATACATGCACCAGGAACTCCATCTTTCGCCCCCATACTTTATCGTACTAGCTGGTAGAATTCTATCTTATACTGGCTATTCTCGTAATCTTGTCCCAAAAAACTGAACGGCAACCCTAGTAATCAGGTAAACTCGGGGTGATCATATAAGCTGTTTCTGTTCTTTGACATCTGATCTGATTAAAAGCCGTCCCAGTGAGTCGTAGTCTACTGCATGTGATGTTCTCTTTATTACAGCTATCAGTGCGAAATGTAGAAATTGGGAAAGACGACGACACCGCAAATTTATAATACGAGGGCGATTGTGCTGGTGCTAGTGTTGTATTTCGATGTGTGTCAAAAAACAATAATGCGCCAAATGGGATCCAAGTTTCGACATTGACTATCATTCCACGGATCCTGGCCCTGAAAGTGCTCCTTTATAGGTTTGGATCATTAAATGAGTCAGCTGTTCCGCTTCCCCTAGATCAATATGGGTATTTCGAATTTGATTGCTGCACCGGAATGGTTTTAATACGGTTGCTTTGATTAAATCAACAGAAGACGATATCGAGTTTTAACAAGGGACGCCGATACGCGTCTTAGAGATTTTAATCAGATACAATAATTGAAACAGCCTCTACGAGGGTTCATAGCGCTTTGGCACCATGTAGTCCGATTAGACGGAATCTACTGCATAAGTATGGAGGTCGCTTAGGAGTACAATCTTTTTATAGACCAAAACAGGAAGTAGCAAATGCAAGTAACTATGGAGCGATTAGGTTTCCTACGGACCTCTGGATGCAGTCATTGTTAAAGGAAACGGATTTCACTGTCCAGTCTTTGAGAACATAAAAACAGCAGAAGCTGAAATACACTAACAATGAAAAAGAAGATAAGCATGCAAGGATGATCGATAGTGACGAAGCCTGTGCTCGGCAGTTTGAAGCTATCAAATTCCTATCGCTCAGAAGATACTTCCGATGATAATAGGGCCAGAATCGTATTCTTTTTAACTCCTAAATTCTTACCGACTAAGTTGATGGTCTTCTTTTATTCCACCTTTGATTCCGTACTCCATGATAAATGGCGTAATATCCTCAGACGGCACAGAGACTGCTGCTCTATCTTTATCAAGATTTTTCAGCCACGGTGAAGGTACAAACCGATCGACATACGCTGTGACTTTTTACCGCTCAATCGCTTTCCATTAAGAAAGACATTCCTTGGAGAAACAACACCGCAAACTCCTTGAAGTACAGTTTGCTCACATGCCCCTTCGACTAACAGTTTATCACCCTGCGAGTTACCCTCATGAACATTAGATTCAGAATTGCTACATTACCAACCTTAAGACGCTTCACGTCCTTACCGAAATGCAGGATCCGGAACATTCCCGAATCTAACCTTATCATTCGTTCCGCGGTCGTTTTGCCCCTGACATAACGGTCGTTCTTTTTACCCTTCTTCTGGTGGTGACGCTAGTTGTTAATGTTCATGGACTCCAAGAATCACCCCTGCTCTATCGAATCATTTCGATTGCCGAGTCTTGGAATTTTCAAATTTGGTTACTTTAGTGTTGTCTAGAAAATTCCTAAGGATTTGTGCAAACGCGCCGAGGGTCATTCCGAGGATTTCCTAGAGCAAGAAACAACTTGTTAATTATAAAAACTTTCTACAGTGTCCTGACGGCTTTGGGATGCATTCAATTAGATATTAGTATACATGGCTGTTTTAAGATCCACGAGCGGACGCACTCGAGCCGCGCGCGAGCTTCAGACTTGTAGCAGCCGCTCCAGTCCCCCTTTTCTCCGGTTCCGTTTTGTCGGTCGATGGTCGCGACAATCGTTGACAGGCCGCTGACACACGACCACCCCCGCCGGCTAGAACTGGGACTCCTCCTGTCCAGCTGCAGTGACCCCCGGCTGCCCTCACAAACTATTATCATCTGACGGGTGTTGGACGACCTGGCTTGGTACCCATGCGTCCACCTAATCCTCCCCTGATCCGTCCAATCTCATGATCAGTACTCAGCCAGTCAGCCCACCTACTGACACAGACTTTCACCCCCGCGTAAATTACACACCGCGACTGACGATCTCCGTGAACGAACGCTCACCTCTGTTGCCAGCAAACAGCCAACTTACGGCAACCTGCACTGTGTAAAGAATAAACTAGTCCTCACAGCTCCCTGAATTCGGACATTAGACGAAAAGAACTTACTGTGCGTGGTTTAAGTTGATCTCACATCCTTGACCGCCAGAGACTCACGTTTGGTCGCACTAAAGTTCCTAAGCAATCTGGTTAACCGGC